GGGAAATGGTGGGTTAAATTGGCGGAGGGTTCAAGTTCACTTTGGAGTAGAGTGATTAGGGAGAAATATGGAGATATAGGAAGGCATTGGCTTACATGGATTAAGGAGGGAAAGGGAAGGGGTTCAATATGGTGGCAAAATATTTGTAAGATCAACGATATGGCTGCAAGGAAGGAAGGGTGGTTGGAGAATAATGTGCAGTTATCTTTAGGGGAAGGAAAACAAGTGAGTTTTTGGAGTGATAACTGGGTAGGAATAGGTGTCTTATCTAACCTGTTTCCAAGATTGCATTTACTTTCAACAGGGAAACAATACCCGGTGAACGAAATGGGCATATGGGAAGATGGCAGGTGGAGATGGAACTTGAAATGGAAACGAGATCTTAGGGAGTTGGAAAAAGTGATGGAAAAAGAGTTGTTGGATGCAATCACACCGATTCAACCCAACCAAGGAAACGAGGACAAGTGGCTTTGGATATTAGATAGTAAGGCTGGCTACTCCACAAAGTCAGCATACCAATTCCTGACATCAAGGCCTCATCGAACTGAAGAGGTACCATATAAAAAAATTTGGAACCCATTGGTACCTAACAAGATCTGCACTATGGTATGGCAGCTGGTGCAGAACAGAATTCCAACTAAATTTGAGCTATTTAAAAGAGGAGTTTTAAGCAACGAAAGCATGTTGACATGTGCTATGTGTGAAGAAGACGTGGAAACCTCAAACCATCTGTTTTTACACTGTCAAAAAGCATACAATATATGGGGAAAGTGTCTAAAATGGTGGGGAATATCTTCGGCACGAGCAAGCAACTGTCGAGAGGATTTTTCTCAACAATGGGGACAATTCACAGAAAACAGAGAAAGGGAAGGCTGGGTGATTATATGGTTCGCATATGCATGAGCCCTATGGCTGGCTAGGAACAATTGTGTATTCCATGGAAAGAAACTGGAGATTGAAAGGGTTTACAATCAAATTCAAGTCAGCTCATGGGAATGGGTGAAAGCAAAATGCAAGAACTGGGACGTCTCCCTCACAGATTGGATACTAGAGCCCAAAGAAAGTATGAAAAGGTTACGTGTCAAAAGGAATCAAATTTGTGCAGATAGATATTAGCCATCACAGTATCAAGGAAGAGCGAATGGAACTCCAGAGCCAAATATATCAACAAGGGAGGTTATGGCATTCTGGAAGGGCTGAGCATTTCTGAATCCCGACACGGACGTGGTGTCGACACTTTATTAGGGTGTCGACACTAAACGGAAGAGCTGAGCTCAAATCTCCAACACGGACATGGTGTCGACACATAATGTAGGTGTCGACACCGAACAGAAGGGCTTTTTGACTAACTCTTTGCCTTTCAAACTGAGATGTTTACGGATTTGGGGTACCCCTTGTACTCCGTTTCAATAAATATTACTTTTGCTTTTCAAAAAAAAGAAATTGATTCAATGCCTGTTGTGTCTAGAAGAAAGAAATTGAGGAGAAAAAATTAGAAAAACTTTAAAAGACAATATTAATGACAAGTCAAATAAATAATTATTCTCTT